GGGGTCCACAGCTGAGTTAATTTGGATCTTGGAGCAAGCAGGGGCCCCGAATTAAGGCACTTTTTGATGTGGCTCTAGCATGCACTCAAAACGGGCAAGCCCGCTAACCATCTGCTTCCAGATTGGGAACACTCGCAGGCATGTCAACTGTCTTTTCTGCCGCTTGCGGTATGGTCTGTCAGTCTGAGTCTACGATGAAATTTAGGAACAACGCCGAACTTGCAACCCCCCATTGAGATCCAAACAATTGGTACCAAAGCACTTCCGTCTCTCTGGGTCCAAAGCAACCAAAACAGTGGTGCCCAAGCACCCGCAACTTTTGAAGCGTGGGCCCTCAGCAAGCCAACATGCTGGCGCCGAGCACCTATCTCTCTGAAGTGGGGGCCAAGAAAAAGGCCAACAGAGGTGGCGCCCAGCACTTGCATCTGTCAAATGGGCCCCAATGGGCTAAAATGCTTCCACCCAAGCACCTGCACAAAGAGTGTGAATTGCCGACATTAGGGGCCAGATGCTTGTTGGTTGTCGGATTGCCCTGCAGCCTTCGCAGCCGGGCCTTCCGCTTCCGCTTCCTCCTCAATTCCAGGTACCATCTCGAGGCTGGCTTGCTTGGCCAAACTACCCCGCTGACCTTGGTTCTTTGGCTGCCTTGCTTCACGCAGCATCTCTGTCGAGTACCTGAAAGCTAAGGCAAAGGAGATACCACCGCCCATGGCAGCAACAACAAGAAGCAGAAGCCGCTGCACCAGCGAAGTACGGCCCCAGTGAAGCTCATTGGACAGCATGCAGCTGGTAAGACAGGTCATGACAGCAGCTGCCGTGAGCAAACCAATCTCGAGATTGTTCCATAGCCTGGATTGGTAAGGCTGCAAAATGGCATAGAGCGACATTGATGACAGGAGCACGAGGCTGACACTCAACATCTGTAGCGAGGGCGAGTAGGTGACAGGAAGCGCAGCGGTGATTACCTTCAGCAAAGTCTTTCGCACCAGTCGCTCAGTCTCCCAGTAAGAATACGTTCTTCGATATGCGCGAGTAATGAAGATTATGTGGTTCGGGGGGCGCTCGCCTGCTGTGGCTGGCTTGTGGTGCGACAGCTTCAGCCAGAGGCTGACTGTTCCAAAAAACAGCGCAGAAATGGCGGTAAACACGAAGGCTTGGGAAGTGTTGTGCAAGTAAGGGCATCGGAAGCCATACATGTTGTGGGCGTCCTCTGCCTCGACACGATAGCACACTGCGTACTTGCCCCAGGCTGCCATGAAGTCTGGAAAGAAACAATTAATACCGATCATCAGAGCAATCTTGTGGCCCTTCAGAAATCCAAATATGGTCACAAGCAATACTGGGAAGAAACTGTTCAGGAGCTGCGCTTTCCACAAGGCAGGCGTCCAACCGAGACCCGCAACCGTGCACTACATGGACTGGCTGATTCCTCCGCTGGCCCCCGAGCTGACGTCGGCAATGTTCTCTGTCAGGATTAGCAGCCCAGACTCCACTGCACCAGATGCTGAAGCTGTCTGCATGGCTGCACTCAGAATGGTGGCAGTCACTGTTCCGAAGGCCATCAACTGGTTTAAAATCACACTGCTAAGCTTCACCTCCTCGCTGGCACTGATGGCATCCTTCGCCTGGCGCAGCCAAGTCGAAATGTTTAAAGGGTCCAAAGCCGGTCCATAACTTTGGGATCAAGGGCTTTGGTTGATCTGATAGCTAGGTGAGCAAAGGCAAACCCTAACGCACCAGGGTGAGCCCTACAGAGAGAACCAAGCCCTTTGGCAAGCCCGCACCTGAAGGCCAAAGATCACCATGCTCTTGAATGCAAGCCAAAACCACTTCTTCACCTGCACTTGCAAGGAAAATGCTCTGCACTGTTGAAGGCGGGAAGGACGCACAAAGCACCAAATACCATCAAACAGAATACTCAGAAGTCCTGGGACCCAACCTTGCAGCCCTCAAACAATCTAGGCATCTCGGCCCTTGGCACATAAACATAATTGTTGGTCCTAGCAAAACATATTAACATATTCTTATCGCCTGGCTCCATGGCGAGAAGTCGCATCGGGCACAAACCAGCGCGCTTCCATCTGATCGTTCATAGCCCTCTCTGCAGTCGGCGCAGCCAGGGCCTCAACGTGGCTTTTGCAATGGCATTTGCAATTTTCGCAAGAAACGCCGTATGAGAGTCTCCCACTCTTGTTGGTACGGGGCTGATAGCAATGTTGAAGGGTGAAGATCTAGGACTAAACATCGACAATTTGGGCTAGGGTTGTTGGCTGTTACCAGGCCCAACCTTCATGGCCAGCCAAACACATCGGACCTCTTGCATCACCTCCAGGGCATGCTGAAGGATTGGGGCAGCGCAGACTGTGGCTGACATTCCTGGCATCGACCATAAATCCTTTGCGAAGAACCAGCCTGTCAACACGGCAGTCTGCAGCCCCCTCGGGGCAGGTCATGCAAGGCCCTGCTCCAGACTCATCCAATTGCACCGTGTTGTCTTCACAGCGTCTGCAGCTTGTAGACATGTTGTCACTCAGCAGACCACTAACTGGCGAGCAGAACAAGCCCGGTGGAGACACACGGAGGGACGAGGAGGCTGTGAGGTGGCAATCGGTCAACATGGTGCAGTCCGTGACTTCTTGCAATTGCAAATGTTCAGCTTCCAAGCTCAAGGTGGCAGCTGGATTGCTTGAGCGAAGATCAAGCCTTTGAATTGACAGCGTGTTGGAAGCTTTGATGGCGAAGGAGTCGACGAGCAAGACTGTTGCAAAATGCAGGCTTGCGCTGGCATGCAC